TGTTACGAGGATCGAATTATTTTTACTGAATCTGTCACGCAATCCCAGACTTTTCTAGAATTATCTATAATCTGTAATATTCCAGAAACTTCTTTCATGTGACTCAGCAGTTTCCAAAAATAGTACAACTTGTAATACGCTATAAATAGTAATAGAACATTCTAGATAACTAAAGTAAATGTATAAAAGCTGGCTTGTGAGAAGTACAAAAGAGATTTGCCCGAGGGCTTACCCTCGTGGCTTGCTGACTGAACTTTTGGAAGCTATGATATGACGAGGCTATGACCTTTTGACCTTGCGATATCCGGAGAGAAGAAAGAGATGAAAAAGACGATAGTCGAGAGAGGAAGAAGATAGAGAATACAGAGTTTACTATGGAGTCCTCCGGAAGAGTTTGTGTACAAGGAAAGAATGCGATAAATCAAGAAAGCCAAGCGCTGTGGTCTTCAGTCGGCGGATGTTGGAATTGGAAGTTGATCAAGACGACGAACACTTACACGGCATGAAGGATTGTAAGCCTGCTTTATGAACTGCTTAACTTAATCTTTAACCTAAGTAAATTAAACAATGTAAAACTAATTAAATAATAGTTAAAATGGGTAACTGCTTGTTGTTACATTTTTGTTGCGTGCCATATATCGTACTCGGGAGTCTATTTTCATATATGCTTTGTTAGCGGACATTTGTTGGTCATTCGTGCACGTAACACGACTTAGAAGAGGTAGTCGCTGCACCTATTGTCATTGTTTCTGGTCATCAAATATACAATTCTCACTCTTTGAGCTGGTTTTCTTACCTGAATCTGAGTTGATTCTGACAGACAGCCTGGTCAGGAATAAACATCGAATAAGACAATTCTTTGGTCGGAGTTGGTTCAAAAATTGGAAACGTAAAGTTGGGGCATCCCAGCCTGGAAGTAAAACATTCTTCATTTCTGTTATCATAATCCATCAAAATTTTTTTGCTCGTGCGAAACTGGTCAAGACGTGTCACAGGACCGAATATGCTCCTGGGGGAATATCCAGTGTTGGTATTTACTGAAAAAGTGGATAATTTTGAAGGCGTGCTCTTATTGGCTATCAAACTTCGAATAACCTCTACTAAGCTTGAGCAACTATCTGTAGATATCCATCATTAGCCGCCCTCACTTCGGTGAATAGTTTTTAATCATAATCCATGGCTTGTGAGATCCCTTGGTTGTTAATACAAAATTCCTTCACTATTGAGCAATGTCTTTGCTAGTCTTGCGGAGAATTTAGACTTCAAAGTATTTATATTTATGATATATCATAGAAGTCAGACGGGAGGTCCGAGTATTCTGATTGGTTCGTACTTTGTCCGTATTTTACGGACCTTTTCCACGCAAACGGTCATAAGCCATATATTTTGTTCACGAAAGCCGGCGAATTTAAAACAAAGAAATTTATTCCAAGTTCCTTGCAATAAACTATTCACTGACTCGCATGCTGGAGCTGTACCGAGGAAAATTGGCCCCCGGTCGCTTTTGTACGTACCCCACTGCGCTCGGTCTGTACTGCAACGACCTCAGGCCGTTAGTAAGAAATAAATCTCTAGGAGTTTTTTCTAGACTCTATACCGATCATACCTTGGAAATGCCACGATAGACTGAACAGCTTCTCCAGGTTGGTTCAAAAATCTCTTCATCTCTTCTCGTCTATTTCTGAGCAAAAAAAAGGAAAAATATAAGATAAACAAAATTATTAAAAGGACAACAGCTTTAAGAAGAAACAGCGAAACCTAAGGTCAACAGTAAATGCTTAGTGTTACATTTACTCATAGAAGTACTTTTCGTCAAGGAATTGACTTTGAAAGAATATCCTTAACTTCTGTCAAGAAAGAGAGACCTAGAAAAGCTTTGGGTGCTCTCCTCCCCCGTCCCGAGAGGAAACGAGTCACAGACATTCTGACTGGCTGATTGCCTGGGTCCTAGTTGCGAGCAGGCTGTGGCTGGTCACAAGAAAAATATTTCTGTACTGAACTAGATGTAGTGATTGACGGATAGATTGATTGACCAACAGGTAGAGGGGAGAGATATTTTCGTCTTATCACGGTCATGGGGACCAACAAAAAACTCGCCTGAGCTGAAGAGTCTTTCTCAAATGAGTTAAAAATTAATAGCTTCATATGTCACTGACAGATATATAGACTGACTGACTGACTGACAGACAGACCGACCGACTGTCTAACCGACCAACTATCAGGTAGACAGACTGTCAATCACACGGAAAGAGGGACCCAGACTGACTGACAGATTTCCCCTTATCACCAACTTGCATGATACTCGTACTCCTCCAGGTTGACATGCCTCTTTGACTTACCGTAATCTCATGTTCAATTCAATAATGTTGAAATATGCCAGACTTTCTCCCATGGGCTGCCCTGGTGATGCTAAGAACAAAAAAATCAAGAAAAGCAACCAGTAAATGTGGAATGAAAAGCATAACTTAAAAACTAGGTCAACTGGACGGCTTCTAAGCCGGAACTAGGAAAGAAGTTGGATGATACCAATCGGACACTAAACTATACTTAAACAAATCGCGTAACAGAGAGTTTTGTGTGCGCCTGAAAGCGTCGAGAGGCGAATCTGCGTTTCCATCATCCACGTCTCAAACCTCTCCCAGCTCCACCTAAAATAATACACTAAACCACAAGCTA